AAAGTGAAAGGTGCACCTTCTTACACAGAGGTCAGAGGTAGGGGATTGAGGAAACAGGGTACCTATGGTCACGGAAAGATAATTTAAGTTTTCTTAAAGACTTAAGCAGGTCATCTCTCCTCACTGCCCAAAGCATGATTTAAAACAGCCCTACATCTAGAGTGTCCCCTCTGAAAATACCAGGATGGTGTATGGCAAAGACCAAAGGAAAAGAGCAGGCAGATCCTAATCTACTCATTGTGTTCAGCAGAGGTTCTTAAAAAGAGAAGTAGATCCATGTTTGGCCATTGCTATGTTCCCAGCATATTGAGCTTGTACAGATCAGCTCTACTTGATCTAACAAGTAACAGAAATAAAGAAGTGAAAATATAATCTAGACCTCTGAATGAAAGATGAAAAATAAACCCCAAAGTTTCTCTAGAGAGCAAGAAAATCACATTCTTAGGTTATTTCTTTGTTTCAGTTTCCATTTATTTTACACAAGCACTTCTTTTTCTCATTTCCACAGCAGAATATCTATATTTGGAAAAGATAACAACAACAACAACAACAACAACAACAAACCCTGGGAAATCATTTAACTTCAATGTAGAGATAACTTAAAGGTATAAATGTATGATACATATTTCTAGTACAAGTACCTATTTCCTACTCTAATATTTGAACTCTGTAATATCCAGCCAGCAGAAATAACATCTTAAATACTTTCTATTCTGTGGTTTTCACTGATGGCCCATTCTCCTCATACGTGAGTCAGTCAGATTTCATCAAGTGTGGTTGGTATCTACGCTTAATGAAAGAGTGAAATGTGAGAAATGGAAACCAACCCTTGTAATCATCCAGATCTCAACCAGATCTGAACATCAACTCAGAGCTAAGCCACTACTGCTTTCCTGATACTGAGTATTGAACTAGCTGATTTCCATCTGTTAAACAAAAAGAAGGGTTAAGTTTAAAAACCAATTTCAGGGACAGCACATCAAAATCCAAACCATTCTTGCCTAACTCAAATATTTTGGTGTAATAAAGACTGAGCCTGTAGGGGAATTCTTATCTGTAGGGGGAGTCTTATAAGTAGATTTTCTTTTCCTTCTCTAAGATCATCACCCACAATTTTTTATTTTCTCAGAAGAAATATTAATTTGATCTAATACATTATAGGGAAACATAATGCAGAAGGGTTAATAGGAATCTTCATTTCTTTTTGGGGGGGAGGGATATTCATTTCTTAAAAACATTATCATATCTTTTTAAAATGCCCTTATCAGGGTGCCTGGGTGGTTCAGTCAGTTAAGCGTGTGCCTTCGACTCAGGTCATGATCCCACAATCCTGGGATCGAGCCCCGCATCGGGCTCTCCCTCTCCCACTCCCCCTGCTTGTGTTCCCTCTCTTACTGTGTCTCTCTCTGTCAAATAAATAAATAAAATCTTAAAAAAAACACAAAATGCCCTATCATATTAAATTTATAAAATATGGCAACACAGATAATGGTTCAGTGCTGATCCTATGAAGACAATAGATAGATCTGGATTCAAATTCTGGTTCCACTAGAGAGGTTCCTCATGGTTTAAATGGGGGTAAAAATAGTACCTACCTTAGAGGCTATCTTAAAAACTAAATGTGGTATAATACATGTGAATCATTTGGCCTTCCCTGACTCAAAGTTAATCCTCAGTAGAAGTTAGGTAGTTTGTCATTATTGTTAACATGATGGAGCACCATTATTGATAGATATGTATCCTTGAAATTTGGTCTTAATATAAAGAAATAGAGAAAGGTTTTAATGAAACTGTAATTTTGTAAAATTATAACTTTATATTACATGATCTATTTGGAGGTAAGTTCAACCTCTTCAATGGAAATTCAGTTATATCACTTGGTAAAATTAATGTATTTAACTCATTTAAGTATTATAAAGGAGAGACCTAAAGGTGTTGAGTAATTTTAATCATATGCTCAGAAATATTATGGGTAATACTAAACATGGATTGAATGCTCATCAACTGCTAGGCACTCTGATAAGAGCTTTTCATGAAGTATCTCAATTTTCATACAACACTCATAAGTTACTATTATAGTTCTCATACTGCAGATGGGAGATGTGAGTCTCTGAGAAGTAAAATAAGTTGCCCAACATTTTTAATGGTGGAATGATTCATGAAAATTTAACCACAGCTATTACTAAGTAGAATCTTTTTTAAAGAAAGTATCATGCTTGTGATTCTCTTCCTCATATATATCTTAAACCTCAAGAGGGCAGAAAATCTATTTGATTTACTGTTAAGAGAATATCGAGACTCCAAAAAACTTGAATAATATACCTACAGACATTTAAGAAGTTAACTGTAGTTTAATTTAGTGGCAACAAGTAAATGTTATAGCTATCTATATAGAGAACATATGGCCAACAAATTGAATTCAAATAAAAATAAGAAATGGATAATAAAGCTAGATTTAGGACTATTATACATAGCTTATTCTTGATTCAAAATTTTTGTTATATGTGTATCTTCCGATCTCAGTGTTTTTGCCTATACTTTTCAAAGTATACTTTACTAAATGTTGGGCATGTAGTGTAGTGAAGCAAAAAACAAAAACAAAATGGCTGAGCCCTCAGACTAAGAGTGCCATTAACAGTGTCCTTCGCCCTCTCTTAAACTTAATTTAGGATGGGACCACTTGCCAGAGGTCCTAACATTCTTGAATGGGGCCATACCAAATAAAAACTGCAGCATCACTTGCATGAAAATGCAATTTACTAAAGGCATTTTGTCACTAATATCCTTTAGTACCTGCTGAGTACCACAGAGTTGCCAAGAGCTGGTCAATAACCTGCAACAATGCATGTAACACTTGCCAGTCTTCTTGTGTGCCAGCAAAGCTGCTATCCATAGGGACTTGTTGTTTCTCCATTGACTTAATTATTCATCCAATGAGCACTAGCTCTCCCAGTGGAGGACTAGATCAGTATTTTCTTACACTACCCATTTCTTCTGCTCCAAACTAGGTGTTTATGAAACACTTTTATGTATAGAGTCCATAAAGTGAACCTTCTTTCTCTAAATTCCCCACTCTTATGCTTTTATTCCAACACAAGAGAAGGGCACTGTACCCATCACAGCCCAGGTTCTTTTCGTGTCATCGTTGAACTCTTTGCAGTAGGTGTCTGACGGGCACCTCTGTCTCCAGGCTACTTTCTAGCTAGTCCTGCACACTGCTAACATGTTTCTGAAATATCATTTTGAAAGTACCATTGCTCTGTGGAAACATTCTCTAGCTTTCTACTGTTTGTTGTTAAACTAAAAAACCTTTAGCCTAGTATTCAGAACCCATGACACTTTTCCCGGAACTATCTTCTTACTGCTCTTTTAATTTTTTTTTTTACCCCTATCCGTTATATATTGTGCAATTTTTTTTCATTTTGTTTATTGTTTCTTTTGCTGTGCAGAAGCTTTTAAGTTTGATGTAACCCACTTGTTTTGTCCCTTTTTTGCCCATGGTTTTGGTGTCATATCCAAAAGAGTATTGTCAAGACCAATTTCAAGAAGGCTTTTCCTTAGTTTTTTTCTAGTAGTTTCAAGGTTTCAAGTCATACATTTAAGGCTTTATTCCATTTTGAGTTGATTTTTGTATATGGCTTGAGAAAAGAGTTCAATTTCATTTTTTGCATGTGGATATCCAGTTTTATTAACACCATTTTTTGAAGAGATAACTCTTTCTCCAGTATTATTGTCTAAGATCAGTTGACTACAAATGCATGGTCTGTGCTCTCTATTCTGTATCAATGGTCTATATATCTATTATGATGCCAGTTAGTGCTTTGTAATATAATTTCGAGTAAGGATATTTGATGTCTTAAGCTTTGCTCTCCTTGCTCAACACTGATTTGTCTATTCATGGTCTTTTGTGGTTCCATATGAATTTCAGATTTTCTTTTCTATTTCTGGAAAAGTGCCAGTGTAATTTTGATAGGGATTGCTATGAATCTATAGTTTGCTTTGGGGAATATGGACATTTAAACAAATACAAATTCTTCCAATTCATGAACATGGGACATCTTTCCATTTATTTGCATATTTTAAAATTTCCCCATCAATGTTTTGTAATTTCAGTGTTTGAGTCTTTTATAGAGCTGGTTAATTTAATTCCTAAGTTTTTAATTTTTTTTCTGTAATATTTATTAGTGTTAGTTGAAAAGATAATTCCATAGTTTAGAATACAAAGTTTGGAAGTGTTTCATGTACTCACTTTGTTTTTTTTAACTGAATTTTATTATGTTCAATTAGCCAACATATAGTACATCATTAGTTTTTGATATAGTGTTCAATGATTCATTAGTTGCATATAACACCCAGTGTTGTTGATGTTGTTGCTGATGTACATGGCATTGTTTTCTTAAATTCCCTTTAGATAGTTTGTTTTTAGTATATACAACCTCCAGTGATTTTTGTATGTTGATTTCGGTACACAATTTTACTCAATTTATTTACCAGTTCTAACAGTTTTGGGGGATATTTTTGTGGTGTCTTAATGGTTTCTTACATATAGGATCATGTCATCTGCAAAAAGAGGTTATTTTACTTTTCCTTTTAGATTTAGATGTCTTTTCTTTTTTCTTTCCTCTTTGCTCTGGATAATACCTCCATGACTATGTTGAATAGCAGTGACAAGAGAGAGCATTCTTACCTTGTTTTGGGCTTTAGGAGAAAAGTTTTCAATTGTTTCCCATTGATTATGATCTTATATATGGTTTTTCATACATAGCCTTTATTGTGTTGAGCTGAGCTCCACTGTATCTATTTAGTGAGAATTTTTGTCATGAAAGTACAATGGATTTTGCCAAATATCTTTCTCTGCATCTATTGAGATGGTCATTTGGTTGTTGTCTTTCATTTTGTTTATATGGTGTATCACACTGGTTTTCCTCTGCTGAACCTTACTGCTCCTCTTTACTCTCCTATTCATAAACCTTCTCTTCTACCCTGGAAAAGTTACCATCTTGAACACAAGAGGCTTGGTCCTATTTTTCTGTTTGCTTGCAATAGATCCTAGAATGAGCATCCTCTTTATCTGAACTTTAGTAAATCATATCCATATTACAAGGTAAATGCCAGTTTCAATCCTATGCCTTTCCACAGGCAAAAGTTATCTTTTCCTTTTCCATATTCTGAAGGAAGGTGTTCTGCATCCTTCATAAAGCATTTAAGATATAATTGAATTAAGTACTTGTCCACACCCCATTTGTAAGAATCTGATCAATAATTCATTTATATGAATTATGAAATAATAAAAATACCTGTTATATGTCTGAAGCTTTCATTCCAATGATCTTTGTTTTTTTTTTACTGCAGTTACACAGCCCATAAGCAAAATTTTGAGCATGCATCCTAACAGATATTTATTTATAAATTTTATGCATTTTTACTACATGAATTCTGTATAGTCTTCATAACATAAACATAAATTAGACAATTTTTAAAAATAGAGAAATAAAAATGAAAAAGAATAGAAATTCTAATAATTTTTTTTCACTGAGCTACTTGCATCTGACTTTTGAATCCACTGTTCTAGACGTTAGCATCATAAAAACTAATCAAACACTTTTCAAGGCCTTAATCAGTTTAGACGCCAACTACAGAGAATCTGTAAAGAATGAAATGAAATATAATTTGGTAAGTACATAAGAGATTCATGATTTTATTTCTTTGGTGTCCACTACAGACCCTAAAACAGCATGACTTCTACATAATCAATGTATAATAAAAGTGTTTTTGAATGAAGATTAAGCTTTTGCCTTGACGTTTTGTCTAAAGGCAGTTTTGGTTTGTTATTTGGGCAGAATTAAAATTTTTATTTTTAAGTTATTAAGAAATAAAAACATGTTTGGATATCCTTATCTGAATTTCATAAGAGTTGTATGAGAGAAATTGGATAGGAGAGCATCATTTTTCAATCAATCAATAACTCTACGCCCATCATGTGCCAGGGACAATTCTAGGTACTAGTGAAACAACAATAAGCAAGTTAACTCCAATTACTAGGCTATGAGGTTTACATCTTTGTGAGGGGAAGTAGACAATAAATAAGTAGAACATTTAACATGATAATTTCAGAGGGTGAAGTGTCAGAAAGGAAACAAAACATTGCAATGCAACAGGAAATTACTAGGTAGTTGTGGGGAAGGAGAACGTGGTTGAAAAAAATGAAGGTGTTCAAAAAAAATCTCCTGGAGGAGGGGGTATTTGAGCTAACCCTGAATGAAGAAGCCACTATGTGAATAGCAGGGGAACAGCATTCAGGGGAGAGGACAAAGGAATCAGGGAGTAGGAATAAGCTTCAAGTGTTCGATAAACAAAAAGAAGGCTAGTGTAGCTGTGGGGTAGTTAGCAAGGCGAGGGGAACAAGAATATTGATTAGAGGCTTTAGAGTCTGATCGATTAGGGCCAATACCAGCTCCTCTGCCTATTAGCTCCATGACTGGAAAAGTTACTGGTATGTAAAAGATTAATAAAATTATTTTCCCTTTTCATGTAAAATTAACTCGAGTTTAACTTCTAGATAGGGTTCCCTGGTAAAAGTTGAAGTTTTAACTATGTTACTATGTAGTATTGCTTGTGGAAAAAAAGACCACTGATTGGTAAATTGAAACTCAGCTGGAAGGACTATAAGTGAACTACTGAATACGTGATGAGGAGACCAAACTTTGGGCTTCCCAGAGTTTGGTGACTCTTGTAACTGATGTGTCCCTGGAAATTCTGCATATGAAATATTGTAAGAGATAATAGTTCCTGTGCGGTCAGGAGGCTTTAGACTCGGCTGCTCCCACAAGTGCCAACATGAGTCTCGTCTCCTTGCACTGATTTGCCATATGGGGAGAAGAGGTCTCCTGGGCAGCAAAACAGCAGCTAAATAGCCTGCCGGAGAGACCCCTGCAAGGACTCCCACTGAGCAGGAATCTCTAGCGCTGAAGCTCATGGTTCCTGCCCTCTATCCTCCTTGGTAGACTGGGCACCAAGTGTGGCCTATGGTAGTATTCCAAGACTAAAGGTTTGGACTCTGGTGATAACTGTATGCTAAATCTCCATTTCCTCAACCCCAATACGGGGGAATAATAACAACACTGGCTTATTTTGAGGCTTAAATAAGGCACATCATTTTGACATAGCACTCTGGTGAAGCAGACATCAATCATACAGTTGCAAACTGTGAGCTATTTTTATTATTAGCTTTAACACATTTTTACAGGTGAAGAAACTTAAGTGTAGAGAGACAACTGTCAGACCAAGGGTGAGAGAATTGAGCAATGTCAAGGTGAAGACCAGAACTTCTCTCTGGTCTCCTCATTGAAGTCTGTGTCATGTGCTGTTCTTGCACACTACTTTAAGGCTATCCAGGTTCCTCCCGATTGTTCTGTGGTGTGCAGGATATGAAGATGGCTAAAAGCTCCGAAGTGCTCTTGCTTGCTAGTTCTAAGGATGGCATTACAAGGGTAAGTCTAAAGACCTTCAGGAAGCTGATGGGATGAATCATCTGTTTCACTTTTTCTTTCTTTCATTCTGCATCCTCTAGATCATTGGCAACCTGCTGTTTCATCTAACTTGCATGCAAGTCTCCAGGTTAAAAAGGAAAATATGCCTCTTGATGTAATAGCTTATTTGACTACATGTACAGCTTGAAATGTTGAAATTAATAAACGATCCCAGAATAGGATATTCAGTTTTCATCTAGTCACTATTTTTTAAAAATACTATACAAAAGATTCCATGATGGAGTATTTATCACAATCATCTTCATTCTTTACCACACCACCACCACCACACCAAGAACAACTTACTCATGCCTCTGATTAATAGCTTTCAACTTGTTTAGCCAGCAATAATGACAGAGCTGTAACTGTTGGCCAAAGAATTGCTTTGTTATGAGAATCTTAGTAATCAAATCTTAATAACTCAGTTATTTCCATCAATGAAGAAAAAACGGAATTGTATTAAGTTTCCATGTCAGCCACAGTGCTTATGTGAATTTTGTGCTTATTATAACTTTTAAAAGACCTTTTCACTGGTGAGTACATTTAATAGGTCTATAAAGAAAACATGAAAGATAGAAAAATATTCTAATATTTGAGATAGAATGTATTGAAGTTTCAGGTTCCTTTCAACAGTAACAATCATATCAACATCTACGTCTTTTTTTTTTTAAAGTATGATGTGTCTTTGGTTGTAATGCAGGGTAATAGGTACAGGGTTAATTGACCTGGTTGAAGTCATGAGAGACTTCCATGAGAGAAGTCATGCTTTGCCTAAGATATGAAGGAAGAGTTCAAAATGCTTAGGTCAAGGAAAGAGTGGAGGTGCATAGTCAGAGGGGGTTAAGTATACAGGGATAAACAGCATATGCATAAGCCCTGGGCAGAGCAAAGCCTGACCCTTGTGAAAAATGAAAAAAAAAAAGATCAGTGTAGGGGGAGGACAACCGATAGGGTAGAGTCACCATGTAGGCAACACAACTGAATACTGATGAGTAATTTATTGGTGATGGACATGCTTCTTTTTATAATCCTTACATTTTAAAGTTCTTGGCTTAATAAAATACTTCTAACAATAATTTATATTTGTTATGTACGTGACACACATTCAGAATGGTGTCATACATTCCTAAAGATCTAGTTTTATTGTTTGAACTTAGTAAATAATGGTAATCAAAAATATATACCTTGAAACATACATGTTTTTATATGATTATATTTATATATATTACTTATGTTTGTAAGTATTTCTTTAATATATATTTGTATATATATGAGAATATAGAACATCTGTGTTCTGATGAGCTCCCAATAATTTTCTATGTTACTAAATTTATTCTGAACAAAATAAACTATGAATAGCCCATAGATCAAATAAAATTATAGAAAATTTAAATGTCTTGATCAAAATTTGATAATCTTTTCTTTCATTAAACATTTCATCTCTTCCATCCAAAACATTTGCTTAATGTATATTATGATTTTGCTTGATTAAAACCAACTATAATCATTTTCACAATTAATAAAACTACATTTTTAAGAGTGCATCACATTTACTTTTGCCTTTTATTTTTTGCTAGTTTCTTCATTATCTATGATTTCTTTAAAAATAAGACACAGGGGATGGCAAATTAATTAGAGAAACCCTCTGATCCTCATGATACATATCATCAGAACTCCTGACCAACTTAATCATTCTAATATTCTTTTACTTAATTTTATCATTAGCCATATTTATAGCTCTTCATAACTTAATAATTTTCCATAACTTTCATTATTTTAGTTAAAACATTTTAAAGTTGAGTAGTTCAACCATTTAAACATTATTGATTCCATCCATTTTCAGGTTATTTATGGATCCACTTTCTTTCTAGTATTTCTTTTTCACCTGATATAATTTTAAGAGCCCCCTTTGATTCCACTTACCCCTTTTAACCAACATTAATTCACTCAGCTTTATTTTCCTTTTTGCCCTTTCTCACCCTTAGAGCTTAAAAATTTATACTCAATATACTATGTGTTCTTCTTTTATTTCTTTTCCTTCCCCATTTCCATAATGTGTTCTTTTTATATTCCTTTTTCTTGATTGATCCTCCCATGCCACTTCCTCGAGCAGCTATATTTTCACATATTTCTAATTCAACATAGTCCTTATAAGCATGTTCTAATTTCCTTCCTGTTCAGGAACTCCATTTCATGATCCAATTTTCTTCTGATGCTCCTATTTCACTGCTTCAGATTTTGATATCCATTTTTCATATTTCATCCTTTTTTTCACTTATATATTCCAAATCAGGTTCTACAAAAATGTCGGTATTAGGTAAGATATTTGAGTAAGGTTTGGTATCAACCGGACACATACTGTGGAAAAACTAGGGCTAGAAAAATATATATGCAGTTCTGGGTCTTATTTATAAAGTGTACATCTTGCTCACACAAGTTTCTAGGCAATTTTAACCCAGTAAGTAATCCCTTGGCTTCCTGGCTTTGTGTTCTGGTAGTTTGTGGCCAGTGGGATTTATCTGAATAAATATTTGCCCGTAGTTTTATATCTACCTCACTTGTTAAGCTTCTCTTGAATATTTGTATTCTTGTGATAATACACATTTTAAGTGGTGTAGTAGTTATCCCAGGCTAACTGCTGTAATGAATATACCCCGGGATGTATAATGGCTCCCTTACAATAGACATTTGCTATATTGTGCTGGGGAGGGGAACAAAATGGCAGCATGATTTTCCTCCACAAAGTCATTCAAAGACCTAGGCTGATGGTGACGCTGATGTCTTCAACATGTTGTTTACAAAGTCACCTTGAGCATCATCTCCATCTGAGTTAGTTAGATTAAAAAAATCACAGGAAGGCACACATGGCCTGGAGTTAGTCACCACTGCTCCCACGTACAGGGCACTGGTAAAAACAGTCACTACCTGCATCGAACTACAAGGGAGCCTGGGGAATTTGCTCCATCTGTGTGCACAGGAAGAAGAGGGGAGCCTGGATTTTTGGTGAGTAGCTAGCAGTCTCTGTCACACAAATGGAAGGAAATATTTTTTTCCTAGTTACTGGTAGAGATGGTAAATAATGTGAAATTAAAAAGAAGTAGTAAAAAAGAAGATGTATGGTGTGATTAACTTTTTTTGGTAGAAAAACTTTAAAGCTGAATTTTTTTATGATCACTACCTATATGATTTAAAAAATGTTTCACATCAACATTGTGTGCTAAATATAAATGTTAAATATAAATGTTATAAAATAATAGGGATGGAGTAGTTACTTGTTTGAAAAGCAGTTGGGCCATATAGCACAGTTTTGAGGACCTAAGTAAATAAGAAAAAAAAAAGAGGCAAAGCAAGAAGTGTTTGCAATTAGTTATATTACCTAACATGCCTCAAACATATGTTATTGACTTTAAAAAAATGAGCACTTGTTTTCATACCCTAACGCCCTATGCATGAACTTGAGCTGGTGACAAGAGAAGAATTATTTAGGAAATTTCACAAAAGAAAGCCTCCCAAAATACTGTTCCCAAGAAGTACTACTAGTGTTGAACTTTGAAATTATGGAAGATGCAGGATTAGTTTGAGAGAAAATTATGATGTAACAAAAAAAATCAAGTAATTGGTACTTTGATAAGTGAAACGACTACTTAATTGTCTTGGTTGGCAGGCTGAATAGGTTCCAGTTTAATGCGTTTCTGTAACAATGGAAAACTGACACATCTAATCTTTAATTACAGTTGCCCCCCTACCTATCTTACAGAAATGTTGTGAGGACAAATGAGATAAAATACATGAAGTGCTTTGAGCTCATTTGTACTGAACTATAGAAAATCAATAAAGTTTAAGGAATATATTACATATCACAATCACTATGATAGCCTAGTTTCCCAGTTGGCCCAGTCGGAGTTTCAGTATAGCTCCCAATCAAAACTGACTTTTCTTTTTTAACATTAACTTGGAAAATTATATAGTCATCTGAAGCTTCCTGGAGGTCTACTTTATTTGATAATATTAAAAGCTCTGTGTTATTTCAAATATGATAAGTTCACAGAGTCTGATTTACTTTTGTCTATTTTTATGAAATACTGAGTCTTAATGTCCCCAAATGAAACATTCTTTTACTTTTTAACAGACACAGTCCCAGAAATATATCAACTGCTTTGCAATCTTATGATGATAAAGGTATATATTTTTATATATCTTACCTGGGTTAGACTGTATAACAACTTTCCAAAAGTGGAATGCAAAAGTTGCAATCTGCCTTCCACTCGGTTTCAAGACACGATAGAAAAGTTGCCACAAGACTGACTAAACTAAAATAAACATAGATACCAAGGCATTGTTGGAAAAAAATCAAATTTGTTCCTTATAAGTTTGTCACAAAAATATCACTTGTGATAAAAAAAAAAAGAAAAAAAATGCTCCTACTTTTTTTGAGTAGAAAATATTTTTATGATTGAAAATGGAACATCGGTAAACGGCCTATACATTCACAATAAATCAGGACACTAAAATATTTTAAAATTTCACAAGGACATCATGATCTCCCCTTCCTGGCTTTTTCTACATGGTGCTTATTATCATCTGAAATGTTTTATATTTTACTTATTTGTTTAATAAACTAACCTTGTAGAAATCTATGCTAATATGATAGCCACTAATCACACATGGCTAATCATTTTAAGTTAATTAAAATTTAAAATCAGTTCCTTAATCTCATTAGCTACATGTCAAGTGCTCAACTGCTGACTGTGGCTGGTGGCCACCATAGGGGACAGAGCAGAATAGAATATTTCCATTGTCGCAGAAGCATTACCTGGACAGTGCTTTCAGGTGGTAACATGTTTTACTCAAGCAAATTTATATTAATTTTATTTTTTTAAATCATAGCATCCAAACTTCACCAAAAGGGTTCAAAATGGTGGTTCAATGTTGAAATTATTTTTCTCATCAAATGCATGTTTGCATATATTTCGTAATTAACAGTGTGAGTGATAAAGTTCCTAGTGAATAAAGGATTCCTGGGTGGCTCCAGCAATAAAGAACCACAAACTTGTTTGCTGACCTCAGCAGGTTAATTTCTTTTGGTAGAGCTGGAGCGCATCAGATAGAACATCTGCAATAAGGTTATTCATTACTATGTATTTGTTTTTTGTTTTGTTTTTTTTTTTTCCCCTGCATCTTGGTGATCACATTTATTGAAAGGGTTGGAAAAAAATTAAAATGCCCTTTAGCTTAAGAATTTTTGAGTTATCTGCCAGTCAACTCATTTCAGGAGTGGAAGAATCCTTGGTCATTTCTTAATATCAAAATTTACACAGGTTTCTCTTTTGAATGTCTTCTACATTTAAAGAGGCAATCATACAAAAGCTCCTATATTCCATACATGGTAAATTCTTTGTTTCAGCCAGCTCTTAATGGAGGGGCAACTAGTACAACACCATGTCCCCAGACAAAAAGCATTGGAATACTCCGTTTTGTTGATTTATATATCTCTTCGTATGTTTCCTCATCAATTTCTATAGTAGTCAGTTTCTTCCACATCTCCGAATATCATATTTAAATGCTGATTATAAGCATGTAATCTGCCTCGAAGCTTTCTGTCATTTCTTTTTTTTTTTTTTTTTTTTTTTTTTTTTAAAGATTTTATTTATTTATTTGAGAGAGAGAGAATGAGAGGCAGAGAGCATGAGAGGGAGGAGGGTCAGAGGGAGAAGCAGACTCCCTGCCGAGCAGGGAGCCCGATGCGGGACTCGATCCCGGGACTCCAGGATCATGACCTGAGCCGAAGGCAGTCGCTTAACCAACTGAGCCACCCAGGCGCCCGCTTTCTGTCATTTCTGATTTTCACATAAATTTGCTCATCCAGGCTGAGCCTGATGAGATCCAGGGGCTCTTCTACAATGTTGGTAGTTTGTTGCTGGTCCACGTCGTCTGCCATGTTTCCTCGTTACTATGTATTTGGACTTGCTAGGTGCCCAACTTTCATACTCTCCCAGCAAGATAACTTTACGAACCCCACGTACAGATGAGGAAACTGCTAGTTGAAGAGAATTCATATCCACCATAGTAACCTTTCCCTCTTCTGCAACTGTAAATGTCAAACTCCTTATTTAGCTATTTGGTACATTATTTTAACCATGTTGACCATTTAACTAACCACATTTTATTGGAATTGACTCTGGTTTCAACCCACCCCGAATTTTCAGCATACTTAAGTGGTAGCTTAGAGATGACCTAACAGCTGCCTGTTAATTTCGACCAAATTACAATACTTTCTTTTGGCTCCCTGCCACCTTTTTCCCATCCCCAACATCTTGGCTTTGCTGGAGTGTTTATGCTAATATCTGCAAAATTATACCACCCAACAAAAGCTGATCTCTCAAGACAAAACTTCATGTTTTAAAACCTCAATTCTCATTCTATATTTTAAAAGCTTATGTAAAGCTGTCCTTTCATATAGAAAAGCTAAATTTACAATGTATGCATTCCGCATCCTGATCTCAAGTCCTCTGTGAAACAAAGCAGGGATATGTGGGTGTATGTGAGCAACTAAGTAAATAATAACCAACTAAAGGGGTTGCTATATTCAGTATCACTTAGTTGTTTTGAAATCTGTTAAATAAATGTGGCCTGATATATTTCTGGCCAGAGAACTTGTAAAGAGGAGGAATCAGCTCATCGGTGATTTCTCTACCTGTAATGCTTACACAATGTGCTGTGAACTTTGCCGTGTCATGATGTCCTCAGTGTGTTTTCCATTCCTTGTCATATTGAACTCAGAATGGTCCATTGATTCACTCATTACCTCATTCATTCACCACAATTAATAAACACCTGCTATACACTGGACACTGCTAAATATTGGGGATACATAAATGAACACACAGTCTTTGATCACAAAGCACTAACAAGCTAGTGATAAACACATGAATTGGATAGAATTTGATAAGTGTGTTAAAGCAATATACACACATTAGTCTAGGTCAGAGAAAGGGCTCCTAATTCAACCTGGAAAAGACAGAGTAGGCTTCTTAGAGAGGATTATCTCAGTGTTGATTCTTAATAGGTGAAGAAACCAGTGGAAAGAAAAGAGGCAGCTTTGGTGATTTTGGTTAGATAGGCTATCATGAGACATGCCAAGGAAACCAGAAATATAATGTTCTCTGTGAAGAAGGGAAGATTGTCAAAGTGTGTGTGTGTGTGTGTGTGTGTGTGCCTGCCTGTGTGGCTGGTGAATGGCTGCCTTTGTGCGCACACAAGCATGCAGACTTCAGAATGTACACTGTGGATAAGTAAAGCCACAGGGATAACCTTGTGGTCATCCATTGTGTCATTTCTCTGCTCTTTCCCTTTCTTGTCCCTAATAAAATGTCCTTCTTGATTCACAAGGCTGTTGGAACAATGGTGATTGCTTTAAAAGTGCAAACAAAATTCGTATTTGAGACTGATCTGCAGTTTGTATGTGCATCAGAGAACCACTGCTTCTCTGTGGTCACATGCCAAAGGGGTGCAGGGAGGGAGACTATTCCTAGTTTCATTACAACGTAAGTACTCAAATAGATTGAACTGAAGCCATACACAGGAGGACACTCTCCCAGTAAACTACTCATCTGGAGTGGGATTTAAAGAATCCCATGACAGAGACTGTGAGGTCTCCAAACCTCCGCTTTCCCTACCCTTTCAGGATACAGCTAGATCACATTTCCAAGCTTCCCTTGCAGTGGACATAGCATGTGATTAAGTGTGCCATTTCTCTCCTGGACTGTTGTGCTGGTGTTCTGAATGATTTCCCTTCTTCGGCTCTGTCCCCTGTTCTCCACACAGCAGGCAGAAAAGTCCTATGAAAATGTATAAATCTCACCATGTCAAACTCTCCAATATTTTCCCACCCTTACGATTATCTGTGAGAACCTATTATCTTCCCCACCACAACATTCATCTCTGTAACCTTAATGTCTAAAATTCTCCTAACTCCCAAAGCTCCTATATGCTAGCAATGCCAACTCCTTCGCTCTTCCTCAATTTTTCCCCACGTCTAGAACAATTGCTCCAGATGTCCATCATGAATCACCTCCTCACTATTTTCAGATTTCTGCTCAAAGGACACCTCAATGAAGAGGCCAGTCCTTAATTCCTTCCTTAAAGAGCAGACTGACACCCAACCAGCCAGCCACTTGTGCCTTCCACTCACTGGCTCTGTTCTTGGCTTTGTGTTTCTTGGTGGTACTTACTACAGAATGACAATAAGATCTAGCTGATATTAATCACCCTGCTTATAAGTAACTTAGAAGGAGAATATGTAGGTTTCATCGTCCCCTCCTAATTTCAGTAACTCCTTTATATGATTTGTATAACTTTGTCACCCTCAGTTTTCTGAGGTATAACTGACTCATTCATGTAACCATTTAGCTATTCAGAGGTACTTTGTATCAGGCAGTTTATCAAACAAGGGGAAGCAGGGACTGGGCAATTTTCTCCCACAGAGTGACAGACCTCATAGAGCTCAATCACCTGGGGAAGGTGAACATCAAATCTTTATTTGTAAATGAGGCGAGTGTTGAGCAAGAAAACATGTAGCACATAGAAGAGTGGTCATAGAGTCTACATTATACCAACTGGTCTCTTCTAAGGTCCTTTGTGCTGTAATGATCTGCGAGTTTACTTCTTTTTTATTGAGATAATATTGGGATATAACATTACATAAGTTTCAGGTGCACATTATAATTTGATATTTGTATACACTACAAAATGATCACTAGCATAAATCTAGTTACCACTCATCACCCATTTTACCCACCCTTCAACTCCCTTCCCCTCTGGTAACCACCAGTTTGTTTTCTGTATACATGAGTTTGTTTTGTTTTGTTTTGTATTTTAGATTCCACATATAAGTAAAATCATCAGTTATTTTGTCTTTCTCTATCTGACCTATTTCACTTAGCATAATATGTCAACTTCCATCCATGTGCAGAAGCTTTTGTTTGTTGTACTCCCATTTTTCAAAAATTTTTGCTTTTGTTTCCTTTGCCTTTTAAGTCATAGCCAAAAAACATTGCTAAGACCAATGTCATCTATGTTTTCTTCTCGGAATTTTATGATTTCAGGTCTTACATTCAAGTCTTTAATCCATTTTGAGTTAGTTTTTGTGTTTAGTGTAACAGAGTAGTCTAGGTTCATTCTTTTGCATGTGGCCGTTCAGTTTTCCCAACACCATTTCTTGCAGAGACTGCTATTTCTTCATTGTATATTCTTAGCTCCTTTGTCATAAATTACTTGACCATATAATGTATAGGTTTATTTCTGGGCTCTCTATTCTGTTCCATTGACCTATGTGTCTATTTTTATGTTGATATCATACTGTTTTGATTACCATAGTTTTATAATATGGTTTGAAATCAGGGAGCATGACACCTCCAGTTTTGTTCTCCTTTCTCAAAATCACTTTGGCTATTCCGGGTCTTTTGTGGTTCCGTAGGAATTTTGGAATTATCTGTCCTAGCTCTGTATAAAATACCATCGGGATTTTGACAGGAATTGCACTGAATCAGATTTGTTTTGATATTTTAACAATGTTAATTTTTCCAATCCATGAGCATGGAATAGCTTTCCATTTATTTATGTCTTCTTCAATTTCTTTTACCAGGGTCTTATAGTTTTCATTGTACAGGTCTTTGACTTCCTTGGCTAAATTTATTCCTAGGTATTTTATTCTTTTTGATGCAATTATAAATGGGATTGTTTTCTAAATTTCTCTTTCTCATAGCTTATTATTCATGTGTAGAATGCAGCAAATTTCTGTACACCGATTTTGTATCCTGGAACTTCACTGAATTTGTTTATTAGTTTTAACAGCATTTTGGTAGAGTCTTTTGGGTTTTCTATATATAGTACATGCCATCCCCAAATAGTGACAGTTTTACTTCTTCCTTTAAATTTGGATTACTTTTACTTCTTTTTCTTGCCTAATTGTTATGACTAGGATTTCCAATACCACATTGAATAAAAGTGGCATTATAGTCATGTTCCTGATATTAGAGGAAAGGCTTTCATCTTTTCACTATTGTGTATGATGTCAACTGTGGGTTTGTCAGATATAGGTCTTTATTGTATTGAGATACATCTCTTGTATACCCACTTCATTGAGTTTTTATCATAAATGGGTGTTAAATTTTGTCAATGCTTTTTCTGCATCTATTGAGATGATCATTGATTTTCATCCTTTATTTTGCTAATGTGGTATATCACACTGATTGATTTGCAGATGTTGGACCATCCTTGCGTCCTTCAAATAAATTCCATTTGATCATGGTGTATGATCCTTTCGATATATTGTTGAATTTGGTTTGCTAATATTTTGTTGAGGATTTCTGTATCTATGTATTAGGAATATTAGCCTATAATTTTCTTTTTTTGTGGTGTCCTTGTCCAGGTTTGGTATCAGGGTTAATGCTAGCCTTATGAAATGAGCTTGAAAGCATTCCCTCCTTTTCAATTTTTTGGAAGAGTTTGAGAAGGATAGGTATTAAATCTTTGAATATTTGGTAGAATTCACCAGTGAAGCCATCTGGCCCTGGACTTTGGTTTGTTGGAATATAAGTTTATTTCTGACACTATTCATTTAAGAGGGAGAAAAAAGGAAGGGACCAGAAAGGGATCTAATAATTATTCCATTGCTACTGTACCACTGAACATCTACCAGAAGGATCATCTCTAAAGTAACACACGGTAGTTAGGACTCTTCCCACTGTGAGATATGGGAAACACTCAGGTGGGCAACACTCAGGTGGGCATTGTTACTCTCACTGTAAGACTGAGTAAATTGAGGGGCACCTGGGTGGCTCAGTTGGTTAAGCGACTGCCTTCGGCTCAGGTCATGATCCTGGAGTCCCAGGATCGAGTCCCGCATCGGGCTCCCTGCTCAGCGGGGAGTCTGCCTCTCTCTCTGACCCTCCCCCATCTCGTTCTCTCTCTTCCATTCTCTCTCTCAAATAAATAAATAAAATCTTTTAAAAAAAAAAAAGACCGAGTAAATTGAGGATGGGACTTTCCTTACAACATATGCACACAATCACATACTGTATCACAGTACTACTCACAATGTAACCTACAGACAAACTGTTACTGTTTGCCAATAAAATAAGGAGGTTGTAGCAGAATATAAATCAATGCACGGCTTCCTTTCTCCAGAAACTCTTGCTACAAAAAAAAAAAAAAATGTCATTTGAACTAAATAGCATGCTTTGTAACTGATTTACATTTTGCATATTCTGGAATAGAAAGGGGTAAGGGATGTTGGGATTGTAGTGGGGTAAGAGACAGCATAGCACGATGGATCCTGAGAACTGGTTGAAATGCAGGAGGGCAGGGTGGAATGTGAGGAGATGGGGTGGTGAACGGTATAGCTAGAGAATAAGGGATCGTGTTATTAGAAGAATGTGTATGGCATGCCAAGAAATTTGGCCCTATTTTCAGAACAGTGAGGAACCACTGAGGACTCATGAGTTGTGGTTACTACAGAGAATGCTCTGTCTATACTGGATTAGTCATTTTAGTTTTGTGTGTGTGTAAATTATATTTTCATATCCCTTATACAGTTTTCATTCAGGTTTTAGTGGTTTTCTTATCCATTCATATAAGCTCTTTTACTAATGAATAAATACAGATATAATGCTTTGTTACATTTGTGGTAATTACACAGTTTGCTGTTTACCTTTAGATATTTTTGTGTGATTTTTGTTGTATTTAATAAATGACTGTTCAATGAAGAAATGAATAACTTTGCTTTTTCTATTGTAAAGATATAGTTATTATTTGGTGTCATGAAGCATTTTACAGACTCAAAAGTCTTTTACAGTTAATAAACATATTTTAAATGCTTAAAGTATATCAAGGACTCAGAAGATTTTTTTCTTTTTTTTTCAAGATTTTATTTATTTATTTGACAGAGAGAGAGAACGCAAGTGGGGAGCAGCAGAGGGAATTGGAAAAGCAGGCTCTCCACTGAGCAGGGAACCCAATGCAGGGCTCAATCCCAGGACCCTGGGATCATGATCTGAGCCGAAGGCAGACGCTTAACTGACTGAGCCACCCAGGTGCCCCAGAAGATTTTTTTCTTGTCAAGAGGACTGACGATTCAGGTAATCTAACTGTTACAGCCACAGTTCTTCTACCAGTTCTACTGATTGACCCTGGAAAAGGCACTGAATCTCTCTATTTTCCTTTTATCTCATACAAAATTAAGTAATACTATATACCCGATTCTGCCTGCCTCATGGAGGATATTAAACAGATGAATGAGAAAGTAGGTAATGACATACATAATTAGGAAGAATTATAAAATATTCCCTACTCTTTGCAGGAGGATGTTATTAATTTCAAGGCATCATTATCAATCACAATTTATTCCTGATTGTTTAAAGCAAGGGAACGGGGCAACTCAGGTCAAGTAGCAAAACCAGATTTTATTTTTGTTTCTGCTCTTGTTCTGTTTCATTGAGCTTTAACATTCTTTGAACTCCTAAAATGAGCAAGGCCCTGTGATACGTATTTTCAATCTATTACAACATGGTTACCTCATTTAAAATTCATTTGTAACCGAGATATCCTGGAAAAGACAATGGAAGATTTGAAAAAAGATCAATAAAGAAAGGTATGTAGTATTGGAGCCTCCATTGGTTGATGTACAACTCTTTTTCAAGCTAACACAAATAACTTTTGAACATATATTTTATTTTACAATATTCTTGTGAATCATTATCTCTACTTCTTTACTCAAAAAATTGAGGAAAAATGCAGTTTAACAGATCCTCCCATAACAAAATTTAGAAACAAATATTCTATGTAATTCACCTTATAAAGTCTTGCTACATCAGATTTTGAAATATTGGTCAACTTAAGGTCTAATGAATAAAGTCTCTTGTATTTGTCCTTAAAAAGAAGTATGCGAAGTACCAAATCATCATGACAGATTTAGTGTTTTAGTGTTTCATTGTTACAAAATACTTTTATACAAATTATTTCAATAATTCCATTATATAACTATTGTTATGAACATTTTAATGCACAGGGAAATTACTCTCACCCAGTAAATTTCCATGATCTCCAGAAGTTTAAGAACCAGTATTAGAAAGCTGGTTTTCAAGGTCCAAATTGAGTGTGTTTGTCAAGGACATTGCAGCTAAAACTCAATGTGTTTTTATAAACATCAAAGGTGACAAACTCAACGCTTACGGGGACAAGGCAGGCAACAGAAGTGTGTAAAGCAGGCCAGATGGGGACTGAAGTATACTGTAGCAAAGACTGCTATCTAAAGGAGAAGGGGCTGTGTCATAGCCTTTAGTTGCCACGTGGGAACAGGGGAGTGGTGTTGCCAGATAATCCTGTTTCTAGAGAATCTAGAAATCTTGATTTTTTTCAGTGTAACACCTTCTGACTTTTTAAAAAAGATTTTATTTATTTATTTGTCAGAGAAAGAGAGAGAGAGGAGAGAGAGAGAGGAGAGAGAGAGCACAAGTAGGGGGAGTGGCAGGCAGAGAGAGAAGTAGGCTCCCCACTGAGCAGGGAGCCCAATGCAGGACTCGACCCCAGGACACTGGGATCATGACCTGAGCTAAAGGCAGAAGCTTAATGGACTGAGCCACCCGGGCGCCCCACATCTTCTGATTTTTCAAATGATGGCAACAGTTAAGGTTCACTATGAGTAAAAGATAAGACGTTTGCAGGTAGTGCATAGAGGACAGACGATCGACTAGGCCCCTCTGGTGTACATGATCCTATTTGAAAAACAACTGAGGAAAGACATCCCATTTAACAGATAAGAATGCCAGAGGTAAAAAAAAAAAAAAGAGTTTGTGACAGGCTTAAGGTCACACAGCCTCGCGAGCGACAGTAATGCGACTCAAAACTCACGAATACGCTTTACGCTTCATTTTACTGCTGTGTTTATTTTGTGATGTGTCTAGAAACCAGGGAGAAAGCAAATTATTCCATTACACAATGATGTGCTTCTACCCCCACTGCATTATGATGCACGAGCCAACAGCACAACACTCTCTGCTGTCCAGACATTTCACAGCTGCCACAGCTTGCAAAAAAGCTGGGGGTTGCTTTCAACACTAGTGCATAGGAGTAGGACTCACAGGGTGGTTACCAATGGGGATAAAAGAGAAAACCTGAGGATAAAAATGGACAATTTCCAGTTAAAATTACCATATTGTAATTTTGTTAGTTATCAGACTAAGTACACAGCAGCTTATCTGACAAGAAATTGTCCTTATGGGCATGATTTAACCTAGAGATGTCTGATTTCCTCATATGTGGTGTCCAGATGGTCCTTTTTGCTCTATGTTGAGACCAGGAGGCATTAAGGCCATTTCTAAAACAGAGACAATGAAGTAAGTGCAGGGTGGAAATGCACAAGGCTGGTCAACATAATGTACTCAATCAGATTATATTTTTAAAGCTAATTCCCTATTACTGACATAGGCAATTGATGAGGGAGGAAAAAAGGGGACTATTTTTTGAGTGATTTTGCTAGAGGTGCTATTACACGTGACTAGCAGCTGATGAGACAGATCCTGTGGTCATGCAGGCTCTGCAAGAAAATATGGGAAAGCAAAGGGAGGGCTCACAAAATGAACAAAAGAGAAGCCTCATGTTCTAGTTGAGAAATAGTGCTTCTTCCTTTCAATGCAGGATTAATTCTGTGTCAAACTTCACTACCTCTTGCATGCTACCGACAGGAAGGGGCAGGGTGTGAGAAGGAAAACAGTGTAGAGAACTTAGCTGGAAAAAAAAAAAAAGGCCAACTGTGAGTAGTCCACATAGGATGGAATACATAAGCTACACAGTAAATAATTAAACAAAATCTCCTAACATGCCCTGTTTACGGTAACTTCTTATGGGCAGCTCTAAAGTACGACATTGGCTATTTGCATAGGATATTACAGAGCCATCTATCACGGTATTCAAGAAAAAGAAAGTACCTCAAAAGACATTTTTCTCATTTGGAAGTACAATAACTTTGTAAAGTTAACGTTTGGAAAGCCTCCCAGTTTTCAGCAGTGAAACGATAATGCTAGACGTATCATTTTAAAGTGGAATCTCCTGGAAGTTAATTCAGTTGACAAGGTCACATTTAGACTCTCTTTTTTCCCCCTTCTGTTTTGCACTCAAAATAATTCCCAAATCCTATTATTCAAGCCCTGGAAGTTACCATAGCAATTCATGTGTCTGCTCATACTCAAGGTACCTCTGAGATAGAGCTACTTAAACAAAAACCGAAAACCAAAACCAAAAAAGCAACCTTCTATGATACAGATCCTGGAATTCATAGGGTTTTGAGAAAGGGAAACGAATGAGAGACACTTATTTGTTGGGTGGAACTGTTCGATTTTTAGCGCTATCTTATTGTGAAGATGCAGGAGAACAGAGCTGGACTTGAGTGCACCCCTGCAGCTGTCATGCCTGGGTTCAAAGCCTCATTCTACCACTCACTTGCTGTGTGACTTTTACATAACCTCTCCATACCTCCATTTCCCCCTCGACAGATGACAAGCTCTACCTCATATGCCATCATTGCGAGGATTCGATAAACTCTCACTGCAAAGTAACTATAGCACAGCACCTAGTCCATAGCAAGCATATGCAAGAATTAGCCTTTGTCTTAAAAAAGACATGTTTTCATAATAGAAGATAAAATATATTTTCAAAGAAGAAATTTTAAAGATAGTGCATAAGGAAAGAATTGAACTTGAAATCTTCTAAGAACATATTTGATGTAAGCTGTGTTTTTCTTTTGGTGAAAGAAGACAAATGATAGAGATTCAGTGTGAAATAACTAAATTACCTTGAGTGGAAAAAAAGAGACACCTTTAATATTTTTTCTGCATTTAAAATACAATACATTAGGATTCCTTTTTTTTTTTTAAAGATTTTATTTATTCATGAGAGAGAGAGAGAGAGGCAGAGGCAGAGGGAGAAGCAGGCTCCCCGCGGAGCAGGGAGCCCGATGCAGGACTCGATCCCAGGACCCTGGGATCATGACCTGAGCTGAAGGCAGATGCTTAACTGACTGAGCCACCCAGGCGTCCCCATTAGGATTCCTTTTATACCTCTGTAGTAAGTTTCCAATTTTAGAAATAAATCTATATGAATTATACCCAAATTTGTTAACGTTTGGTACATCTTTTAGCCACTCTGGTTTAAAACTGCATTCACATAAGTCAGTCAACCCCAGGTGGTCTTTGTTTCAACTCCTAACTCTTTTTCAGAAGGTAACCATGATCAAAGACATTTATTTTTTGATAACGAAGCATCCATTTTCCTTTTAACTTATGAAATTTATTCTCTCAATTCCAACTTTCACTGGTTTTTGTCCATTTAGCCATTTTGGTATTTTCAAATATTGCTCTCATGTATTTAAATAATTTCTTTTTAAATAGTAGAACATGCTCAACAGTTTATTTTTCCATGCATTTCTTCCCAATGTCTTTCTTCAACAAAACAGATGAAAGGAATGCTATGTCAAAATACTCCAACATTATTATGGGCTATTATGTGCTTCAGGTCAGAAACATTCAGAGCCCTGTGTTTAAATAAAACTGATGTTTTGGGAGAAGAAAGAAAAGCTTTATTGACATTTTTGAAAATGATTTAAATTTCAATACTGCAGTTGAGGTTGTTCATGGTAAAGCAGAGAGCTTTAGTTTACCATTTTGGATTATCCCACATAATTCAATTTTTAAAAACAATTTGCCTAAGTCTCTTGGTGGTCCAAAAGCATTTCTTAAAGCCTGGTGGCTTTAAAATATGTAAATATGCTACTGAGGAGAAGAATTTTGAATCCTTGTTATGGTCAAAATGGTCAGGATGCTTGTTTAACCCGAAAGACTGTATGTGGCTTCCGGCTCATTAAAAAGCAACAGACCTCTTCCCTCTTCCTGGTCTCAGATTCTTAGAAAACATAGTACCCAGGTGAGAGATCTTCAAAACTATAATGGCCTCTGTCCTCTAGATCTCTGTAAGTTTTGCTAGTCTGCAGGCCGTATTGAATAGTTAAGAGCTAGGATATCAGGCTCCAAAAAACCTACCTTTAAATTCTGGCTCCAACTTTTGCTAAATGTATGACTTTAGAAAGCCCCAGCTTTTACATCTATACAGTACTAGTAATAGTACCTAGTTCCTCATTGATAGTGATGAAGAAAGAGAGAAATAAAGAAGCACATGGAAAGTCCCTAAGAGAGTGTGCAGTTCACAAGCTTAATAAACAGTGACAAGGGTTTTCTATTACTATTTATTTCTAGTGCTGTAATTTCTAAAGACCTGACATTTAGAGCTTCCTCCTTTTGCCAATCTCTGCCTCTGGAACTTGGTTATTGATTTATTTACAATTTCACCTTTATGCACAGGATTTGAGACCTCAGGGTTGAAAGGGTTCCTTCCTTTCTTGCAGACAGTCAGAGACCAGTGCTCAACATGATCAACTGGCCTTTCAAGAACCAGTTGGCTGAGATCAGTGCTTTAGTCCAGGACTTCAAAAGGGGGTCTCTGGAGGACTGAAGCTGGATCTCCATCCACATTGCCTGTTCTTTGCTTCTGAGTGGAGTCCTGGCTGTCAGTCTGGCTCCCATTTTGGTTATAATTTCTTAACTCTGCTCTTTGGAATACCTTCCCATTTCCAATCTTCACTAATAGCACCTTTTTTTTTTTAACACTACTGACTGTCAAATTCCCAGAAGAAAGTTTCTTAACAACCTGGCTGCATATATTCCCTAATTATCAATAGAATGGACATGCCTTTCCAGCCAGAGGTCAAGCAACGATGGTCTGTAGGCCACACTGGTCCCAAAGATACATTAGAGCAGTGATTAAACATTTTTTGAACACCGATGCCTTTATCTAGGTTATGAATTTTCCAATTTATATTCTGACACATGCCCTACCAGTTCTACTCCTTTACTCCCATAGTCTAGTACATTCCATGAATTACCTACCTGATCTCGCTTGAGTTGGTATGGCTGGATGTTGGCTCCACGACCTGAGGGAGTTCTGTCAAGTGGGGAACATCAATGTCCTTGCTTCTAATCCATCACCATTAGGTTTGCTCAGAACCATGGTAATTGCAGAATTACTACGCTGCCCCTTTCTGGTGCCCCAATACATGGGTTTATTCTGAACCATAATCTCTGGCTTCATAAGCTTTGGGCCTAGATCTCTTTCTGCCCTTTGGCCGCTGTACAGTGATTTCCTCTGAACGTAACCTTTGTCTCACTCTCCTGCTTTCTTGTCATCCCATGGCATCTTTCTGAGCAACTAATGCAGGTCCATAAAAGTCCTCCTATGACACTGTGTAAAATCAGTGTACATCCCATCCACCAATACTGAACACCTAATGTATTTCTATTAGTTTGTTGTTTTGTGGTTTTCCCTCTATCATTACAAGATGATTACATATGGAATGCCTTTAAAAAATATGATGCCTGGGTATGGAACAAAAAGGCAATGAGGAGAAATGAACAATGCAAATGAATCCATTTTGATTTCCTCCTTACACTAAACACAAGACTTGGTCTCCTCTGAAAGATTTATGAGGCTTCCTACCATAAAGGAGGCTGGATTACAGCTATGCTTACTTTATAAAATGAAATTCTGCCATCATAGGCAAGGGTTCACGGCTGTAATTATTTCAATGATCTTCCAGTCAATGTGTCTTGCACAGCTGAGCCAAACTCTCCTCGCCGAGGCAGGCAGGCCATTTCATAAGAAGTCTAAAAGCTCCCACAACTTTGTGTGACCTTGCATCGAATAACACTGGAAAATTGATTTGGCTCTAGTAATAAAAGACCGTCTGCATTATCTGCATTCTAATTATAATTAATATAACCAGGATAACTGCTGTATTATTTACGATTAGAGCTATGGTGAGCACAGTGTAATAATAATCTGCTACATAATTTTTTATTGATCTGATGGCTTTATTGCAGAAAAAACAAAATGCTACAACACTGCATAACTAAAATTGCCTTTCCTGACATGAGTGTTTAGACAGAGGATTTCATTTAACATTTCTTTTATCTGATGAAATTCTCATAGTTTAAATATCATAATAAGTGAGAAGCTATGGGATCTTTCAATTTTCC